CAAAGGACTTTCAGGTGTATGCCGATGATGTCCCATAGGTTGTATATTCCCCATAGAAACGCCACCACCTGGATTAACCATGTCCTGATAATCGTCGCTCAACTCCATCGCGTACGATGGCAGCGGTTCCTTGTTCTTAACCCGAATTTTGACTGTTTAATTCGGCACTGTGGCCGTACTAATATATGGACGATTACAAATAAAATACAAACGACGACACCGAGGATTATTATTTTAAAAAAAACGGATTAAAAGTTAATGTAGAACTTTTTATATATACATATATGTATATATATATATATTTTTTTTGTTTTTTTTTAGATCGAATAATTCGCGCACATTAAACTTCTGTCCGGCACTGTTTTTTGTTTTGTTTGTTTTTGTTTGTTTTTTTTTTTTTTTTTTTTTTAAAAAGAGAAAGAGGGGGAGGGCGGCGACACCAACGGCAACGATAAACAACAACAACGGCAGCAGCGGCGGCGGCGGCGGCGGCGGCGGCAGCGGCGGGAAAAAACGAGCGAACGATTGATGTAAAAAAGAAGTGTCCAGTCGAAATGGAGAAGAAGAAAGAAAAAAAATTGAGTAAGAAAAAAGATAAAAAAAAGAAAAAAAAAAAAGAAAAAATAGAGAGAGAGAAAAGAAGAAGAATAAGAAGGAGAAAGAAAGAGGACAGGGGGGAGAAAAAAAAGTTATTTCTTTCTCTTTTCTCTCCTCTTGACGTTTTATTCTCTCTTGATGTTCTTTTCTCTCTTGATGTTCTTTTTCCCCTTTTCCTTATTACTTTCTTCTTGTTTTATATATATAAAAAAAAAAAAATATATATATATATATGTATATATATGTTCTTTTTTCTTTTTCTTCTTTTCTTTCTCTCTCTCTCTCTCTTTTTTTCTCCTTTTTTCTATTTTTTTTTCTTTTTTTTTTTTTTAATTTTCCATTCAACAGTTCCTAATTTTTCTATACGAAACTTTCATATACACACATATATATATGTATATATACATATACATATATAGATATACATGTCCTCGTTCTTATTATTTTTTACTTGTTCCTCTCTCTCTCTCTCTCTCTCTCTCTCTCTCTCTCTCTCTCTCTCTCTCTCTCTCTCTCTCTTCTTTCTTTTTCTCTTTTTCTCTTTTTCTCTCTGTCTTCTTTTTTTTCTGTCGTGCTAACACGTGTCGTTTATTATTTAATCAAAAGAGTTCTTCATTTATTCAAAATTTTATATTAATATTATATACGTGTGTATACGTTCGTTTGTAACTGATAGATACATACATGTATATATATATACATATACATATATATATATATACACATACACACACATATACATATATGTATATGAAGTGAGAGGACAACGACGAGATACAACGAAAATCTAACGCACTTTTAAAATATCATTTACTCACGAAATTGGAAATTTTTTTTATATTAAAAGAGAAAGGACGATAATTGCCATTATCTTTCGTAGTATTTCTATTGTCATTTCTGTCATTAATTATTATTATACGTCTTCTATTCTTCCATTTCTTCTTTATTTAATTAATCATTTATTTCTTTTCCTTACTACGTTTCTTTCGTTCTTCCTTTCTTCTTTCTGTCTCTTTCTCTTTTTTTTTCTTCTTCTTTCTCTTTTTCTATCTCTTTTCCTCTCTCACTCTGTTACACTCTCTTACTCTCTCTCTCTCTCTCTCTATCTCTTTTTGTCCATTCGTTGATACTTCTCAGTGTCTAATTATTCCTCATCCTCTTCTTCTCTTGAGTCTTCATTAAATTAATTCATTTAATTAATTAATTATTCATTATAATTATAATTATCTTTCGTTCGTTCGTTCGTTCGTTCATTCGTTAAATTAATTAATTAATCAAATCGTTAACAATTTTACTATTGCACTGAAAAACACGTCACTTGATCATTCTTCACACAATACCGCAAAAAGAAAAATATTATTTAAAGATTATATAGATATATATATATAGATACATATATGTATATATATATACATACACGTATAGACATACATACATATATACATACATACATTGAGATATATATATATATATATATATATATATATATATTTGTATAGATATGCCGAGTGTATATATTTAATCTTTATAGAGTTGGATTAATAGTAATAAAAATAATAAAGGGGATGACAAAGGATATCGAGAAGGGTAAAAGGATTTTTCGTTTTTTTTTTTTTTTCTTTTTTTTCCGTTAGTTAGATCAAACAATTATAAAAAGTGATTAAGAATTAAGAATCAATAATCAATAATTAAGAATTAAGAATTAAGAATTAAGAATTAAGAATAAAAATAAGGAATAAATGTTAATAATGAGGGTGGGTAAAAAGGAGAAAGAGAGAGAGAGAGAGAGAGAGAGAAAAAACACAAAAAAAGGAGGGAGAGAAAGAGAGAGAGAAAGAAAAAAAGGGAAGAGATTATAAAAGGAGGAGGTTGGGTGGAAGAGGAAAAAAAGAAAGAGAGACAG